GACTGTAGACTAGATTATAGACTAGACTATAGACTAGACTATAGACTAGACTGCAGACTAGACTATAGACCAGACTACAGACTAAACTATAGACATGACTATAGACTAGACTTAAGACTAGACTTTAGACTAGACTACTGACTAGCCTATAGACTAAACTATAGACAAGACTATACTAGACTAGATTGTAGACTAAACTGTAGACTTATCTATAGACTAAACTGTAGACTATACCATAGACTAGACTAAAGACTATACTTTAGACAATATTATAGACTAGACTATAGAATAGGCTATAGACTAAACTGTAGACTATACCATAGACTAGACTATAGAATAAACAGTAGACTAAACTGTAGATTAGACTACAGACTAAACTATAGACTAGACTATACTTTAGACTATACTGTAGATTAGACTATAAACTAGGCTAGAGACTAAACTGTTGACTATACCATAGGCTAGACTATAGAATAAACTATATACTATTAGACTAGACTGTAGACTAAACTTTAGACTAGACTAAAGACTATACTTTAGACAATAATTTAGACTAGACTATAGAATAGGCTATAGACTAAACTGCAGACTATACCATAGACTAGACTATAGAATAAACAGTAGACTAAACTGTAGATTAGACTACAGACTAAACTATAGACTAGACTATACTTTAGACTATAATGTAGATTATATTATAAACTAGGCTCTAGACTAAACTGTTGACTATACCATAGACTAGACTATAGAATAAACTATAGACTAAACTGTAGATTAGACTACATACTAAACTATAGACTAGACTACAGTCTATAATTTACACTAGACTATAGACTAGACTATAGACTAAGCTATAGACAATACTATACTATAGATTCGATTATAGACTAAACTATAGACTAGACTATAGACTATGCTTAAGACTATACTCTAGACTAGGATAAAAACTAGACTAGGATATAGACTAGACTATATATTGGGCTATAAAAGTACTGAAAAAAGTAATAAAGTTCTGACATTTTTATGTTGACTAAACTATAGACTATATTATATACTAGATTAGACTATAGACTAGATTATAGACTAGTCGTTAGACTATGATATAGACTATAATATAGACTAGACTATTGACTACTCTATAGCATACATATTGGTCTATTGACTACTATGTTACCTATTTATCAAAAGTTAATAAATTAGAAAAAGTACTGAAAATGTTGTGGGAGTAATGCAATATTTTTCGATACTTAAAAATACTGAAAAAAAAAATACTAATGTACTGACATTTCCATGTCTGACATGAAGAGTTCTTATGTTGACGTAAGTTACTTTCTTCTAATAGTACTTTTAAACTCATAGTGTAAGCGTTGTTATTCCTTTACCGCTATATTCATAATGATATTATTATTACGCACATTTTCCATGCAAAAATCAACAACTCATAACAATTTATCAAATTTTATATTTATTTTTTTATATCTAACTAAATACATATGAAATATGTTAAAAAATTATTTTAGAAAAAATATTTATAATTCTTTTAAAACCCTTTAATGACTAAACAAAAGTTTAAGCACAGATTTTTTATGGCTGGCGTTTAGAAAAATTTATGTTAAAATTATATTTTCATGCTAGCAAACTTCCCCATACTAGTACTACTCTAAACATTGGAGTAGTTTAATTTAATATTAAAAAGGAAATTAGCAAAATTGCTCTACTACTTATTCGTAAAAAGGGTTCGTGATCTTTTCCACATAATACATACGCATAATATGTATGTCTGTGTATAAAATGCATGGTATTATGATGATATTCTATTTAGAAAACATATTATTTACCAAAAATTAAACGTATACTATGTATTTACTACAACAAACTTTTTGTAAATATAAACATTATACATTATTTATTTATCTTATCTTAAAATAGTTTTAAGACTTATGAAAAAATATACACCATCTGCATAATCATGCACTACATATTTTATGATTATGTAGGTACTACTTAACTAAGTTGGTATATTCGTTTTATTGGAATGTTTTTAACATTGATGAATAGTAGTTTAATACAAGGGCTAGTTCCTTTATTGAACCAGTAAGACCGCTTTTTATACCATACACCTTTTAGTGGGAGGGTATTATGCGATTGTGCTGATGTTTGTAACATCCAAAAATATTGGTCCCTCACTCACCTTAAAGTATATCAATCGGCTCAGAATCACTTTCTCAGTCGATAAGCTATTTCCGTCCGTCTGTCTGTGTGTCCGTGTAAACCTTGTCCGCACGCTACAGGTCGAAATTATCAGGATAATTTGATGCAATTTGGCACATATTCTTTCCAAGGTTCAAGCCTATTGAATGGTTGCCCCCATACAACCGTTCCCCCGAATATTGCTTTAGAACTTATAATTATGTTAAATGTTGTAAAAATCTGTACATAAGTTTACATAATATTGCCAATTTTCGTAATGATCGGGCACCCTTATAAAATTTCCTTCAGAAAATGACTTGAAGGTGAAAATTCACTTTTAAATACTATGTCTGCGTTAATTGGTCTACCAAAATGTATATGGATAGGGCCATATTTACCTTTGTCCCCATATAAACCCTCTTTCAGATAATCACTTTTTTGGCAAAAAAATTGTTAAAATATTTCGTAATTAAGTTAAAATGCTTTAGTATTAGAAAAATAACCCACATTTTTAACATACTCACTGGTGTAGGGTATCGTATGGTCGGCCATGCTCGACTATACATTCTAATTTGTATTAAAAAGGTACCAATTTAACAACGAAAAAGTACCAAAAGGTTTAGTCTTATAAATTGTTATTCCATCTGGATCCAATTAGGTTCAATAGTGCATTAAAACTAAAAAGTACCTATTCAATAACGAAAAAGTACCATAAATCCATTCAATCAATCGGGGCTCTGAATGTTTAATTCAATGTTTCTAGGTTTAATATTATAGAAAATTCAAGAACGAACAACTACCAAACAGTCCCTTTTTATAGGATCTCTTTTACTCCGTGATCTATATGCTTAATTTCATGTTTTTAGATTCAAAATTATAAAAAAATCTAAAAGTACCGATACAAACTCATAAATTACCTTTTGATGAACGAAAAAGTACAAATTTTGTAAAAATACCAGACTTTTTAAAGAATGTACGTTTCTCCTTTTTATCCCTATATCAAATGGGGGCCGATCATTATAGAAATCGGCAGTGTCATTTAGGTTAAATAATGGACAATCTTCAATAGGCTTCGTCCTTAAGCTAAACAAGGTATATGGCCCAGATTTCAAAAAAATTGAGGCCGCAACCATGTGCACAAGTTTTACATGGACGGACATGTCTATGAAAGTAATCCTCCCCCGCTATGATGGGATAGTTGTATTATTGTTGTGGTATTGTTGATGTGCAGCATCCACTAGATCAGACCGCGTATACGGCAGCTTAGAACGACATTCATAGAGACGCCATAAATTCCGCAGAATACCGTATGAATGTCGTACTTGGTGATCGCCCACCGCCCATAGCAGACACGGAAGAAAACAAGAGCAAAACAAGAGTATTTCTGGTACAACTAAGATGGGAATGAAGCAACAGGCTCAATGCCTACTGGTCACGTATAGACCGTGCCGTCCCCAACGAATGTCCTGCATGTGGTCTGGGTCCTCATGACACCCACCACATATTCAACTGCTCAGCCAACCCTACTTCACTCTGTCCAATGGATTTATGGACGCATCCAATTAAAGTTGCCCAATTGTTAGGCCTGGAAATTTATGTAGAATCCCCAACTAGATTATTGTATAGTTCTAGCTGTTACAACAACAACAAAATGGATATAGTTAGATCATGTTATAATGTAAAACGAACTGAACCTTCTATAATTTGAAAGACTTATTATGTTTATATTTATTATGATGTTTATATTGACCTTAATAAATGACTGAAACAGCTGGACCTAGAATCGTAAAATTTTGACAGTTTTACAGTATTTTTGCTCGAGTAGATCCACATTAGAATACATCTTTATCTAATCCAACAAAAGCTAATGGATGTCTGGACCTTTTTTTATATTCGAACGTTTAGGGCTGATAAAGTGTGATAAAGTTAATTTTAGCACCATTTTTGACTCGTTATTACAAGGCCCCTATTACATACTATTTGAAATTTAGTCCCTTAAGGGGATAAATGGTTAAAAACTTATACTTTTTACTTCTTTAATCACAATAATTTTCTATATTTTAATCCCAAATACAAATTTTGTACTTTGGTACTCTTTTCATAAGACATTTTTAGCTGTAAAAATCTATAAATTTATACTTTTTGGTACTTTTTCGTTCTTCAAATAGTACTTTTTAAACTTTCTATAATATTAAAGCTAGAAACATAAAATTAACATGCCGAGTCCTCAATAAATAAGAATCTAAAAGAAGGTGATGTTTGGTACTTTTTTGTTCTTCAAACGGTACTTTTTTGAAATTTTTATAATATGAACATACACGGTTATAACTAAATGAGAATTTATGATCCAATTTTCTATAATATTTAAAATAGAAACATACAATTTAACATACAGATTCCTGAGTAATTGAGAATCTAAAAAAGGGACTTTTTGCAACTTTTTCGGCAAACAAATGTTACTAAACTTAGAAATATGAAGTTAAAAATAAATTAACAATATTCTCTAAAATGATCCAAAAGTACTTTTCCGATGATTGCTTCTCCGACGGTAAAACAAATCTTAGAATTGTAACATTCTCTTGAAACCTCTCAAATTTTAATCACTGATGACTAAAACTAGAATTAATATTAATAATTAATATTACATTAAAAGATAAACTCTTTGTTTAATAGATTGTTTTTAATTGTTTAACACTTTATCTATTTTTTAAATAATAAATCTCACTTCCTTTATTTTTTGAAAAATAACTCTTTCTTTATATAAAATAACAATTATAAAAAGAAACCAAAAAAAGTACAATCCAACTCACTTCGCTCAAAAGGAAAATGTTAAAATACTTGTTAATGACACTTGACACCTGTAGCTGTGTCCCGTTCGCGTAAAAGAAATATAAATATAAATTTTGATTTTTAATATTATTTTTTTTATTAATTTTTCGTTACGTTCGGTTTTTTTATAAATATTCACACACTGGGACACTGTATTCGTTTGAAGTGAACAGAACTGAATGAAGAATATCCTGTTTGTAGTATTGCCTTTTATATCATCATCGTCAAACAACAGACAAGCAAACAAACAACAAAAAAAGTATTTGTTACATTGTATCGTGTGTCAGAGTGGATGTGAAGGTGAGTGTGTTTTCATGTTGAAAATGCGCTTGCAAGCTACAAGCTAAAAAACAGTACAAACTCCCGCACAAACTTTACTCGTTTTTTTTTGTTTCAAACATTTCCACACATTGACTGTTGATTGTAACAATTGTTGAGCGCAAAAACAAAAAAAAAAAGTTGAGTGAAAGAAAAACAAAAAGGTGTTGAACAGACAAATTTTTTGATAAATTGTGCGTTAGTTACAAATTCATGCGTTTGATGTGTAATGGCAAAAGGTAAATGAGCGTAATGTTGCAGCAACATGTTGCTGGTAATTGCCAAAAAAAAAAAAAAACAAACAAGTTTTATATTTGTTTACTCTAATTTCTTAATGCATTTCATGTGGGCGCCACTGGTGACGTATAATTGATGGTGAATATTAAATGTTTATGCATCATGTTACTCATACGCAAAGTAACATTTACTTGTTAGACGATCACTTTGGTTGGGTTTTTTGTGTAATTTAGGAAATTGAAGAAGTAAATGTTTTCTGAGATTTAGTTCACTAACAAACTAACAATCTAACAATCTAACAAACTAACAAACTAACAAACTAACAAACTAACAAACTAACAAACTAACAAACTAACAAACTAACAAACTAACAAACTAACAAACTAACAAACTAACAAACTAACAAACTAACAAACTAACAAACTAACAAACTAACAAACTAACAAACTAACAAACTAACAAACTAACAAAGTACAAAGTAACAAACTAACAAACTAACAAAGTAACAAACTAACAAACTAACAACTAACAAACTAACAAACTAACAAACTAACAAACTAACAAACTAACAAACTAACAAACTAACAAACTAACAAACTAACAAACTAACAACTAACAACTAACAAACTAACAAACTAACAAACTAACAAACTAACAAACTAACAAACTAACAAAGTAACAAAGTAACAAACTAACAAACTAACAAACTAACAAACTAACAAACTAACAACTAACAAACTAACAACTAACAAACTAACAAACTAACAAACTAACAAACTAACAAACTAACAAACTAACAAACTAACAACTAACAAACTAACAAACTAACAAACTAACAAACTAAACAAACTACAAACTAACAAACTAACAAACTAACAAACTAACAAACTAACAAACTAACAAACTAACAAACTAACAACTAACAAAGTAACAAAGTAACAACTAACAAACTAACAAAGTAACAAACTAAACAACTAACAAACTAACAAACTAAAACACTAACAAACTAACAAACTAACAAACTAACAACTAACAACTAACAAACTAACAAACTAACAAAGTAACAAACTAACAACTAACAAACTAACAACTACAACTAACAAACAACAAAGTACAAACTAACAAACTAACAAAACTAACAACTAACAACTAACAAACTAACAAACTAACAAACTAACAAACTAACAAACTAACAAACTACAAACTAACAAACTAACAAACTAACAAAGTAACAAACTAACAAACTAACAAACTAACAAACTAACAAACTAACAAACTAACAAAGTACAAACTAACAAACGAACAAACTAACAACTAACAAACTAACAAACTACCAAACTAACAAAACTAACAAACTACAACTACAAACTAACAAACTAACAAATAACAACTAACAAACTAACAACTAACAAACTAACAAACTAACAAACTAACAAACTAACAAACTAACTAACTAACTAACTACTAACTAACTAACTAACTAACTAACTAACTAACTAACTAACTAACTAACTAACTAACTAACTAACTAACTAACTAACTAACTAACTAACTAACTAACTAACTAACTAACTAACTAACTAACTAACTAACTAACTAACTAACTAACTAACTAACTAACTAACTAACTAACTAACTAACTAACTAACTACTAACTAACTAACTAACTAACTAACTAACTAACTAACTAACTAACTAACTAACTAACTAACTAACTAACTAACTAACTAACTAACTAACTAACTAACTAACTAACTAACTAACTAACTAACTAACTAACTAACTAACTAACTAACTAACTAACTAACTAACTAACTAACTACTAACTAACTAACTACTAACTAACTAACTAACTAACTAACTAACTAACTAACTAACTAACTAACTAACTAACTAACTAACTAACTACTAACTAACTAACTAACTAACTAACTAACTAACTAACTAACTAACTAACTAACTAACTACTAACTAACTAACTACTAACTAACTAACTAACTAACTAACTAACTAACTAACTAACTACTACTAACTAACTAACTAACTAACTAACTAACTAACTAACTAACTAACTAACTAACTAACTAACTAACTAACTAACTAACTAACTAACTAACTAACTACTAACTAACTAACTAACTAACTAACTAACTAACTAACTAACTAACTACTAACTAACTAACTAACTAACTAACTAACTACTAACTAACTAACTAACTAACTAACTAACTAACTAACTAACTAACTAACTAACTAACTAACTAACTAACTAACTAACTAACTAACTAACTAACTAACTAACTAACTAACTACTAACTAACTAACTAACTAACTAACTAACTAACTAACTAACTAACTAACTAACTAACTAACTAACTAACTACTAACTAACTAACTAACTACTAACTAACTAACTAACTAACTAACTAACTAACTAACTAACTAACTAACTAACTAACTAACTAACTAACTAACTAACTAACTAACTAACTAACTAACTAACTAACTAACTAACTAACTACTAACTAACTAACTAACTAACTAACTAACTAACTAACTAACTAACTAACTAACTAACTAACTAACTACTAACTAACTAACTAACTAACTAACTAACTAACTAACTAACTAACTAACTAACTAACTAACTAACTAACTAACTACTAACTAACTAACTAACTAACTAACTAACTAACTAACTAACTAACTAACTAACTAACTAACTAACTAACTAACTAACTAACTAACTAACTAACTAACTAACTAACTAACTAACTAACTACTAACTAACTAACTAACTAACTAACTAACTAACTAACTAACTAACTAACTAACTAACTAACTAACTAACTAACTAACTAACTAACTAACTAACTAACTAACTACTAACTAACTAACTAACTAACTAACTACTAACTAACTAACTAACTAACTAACTAACTAACTACTAACTACTAACTAACTACTAACTAACTAACTAACTAACTAACTAACTAACTAACTAACTAACTAACTAACTAACTAACCAACTAACTAACTAACTAACTAACTAAATAACTAACTAACTAACTATATCTGCGTTGTTGTTATCTTGCTTCTGCATGCAAAATATTCTCTTTTTTAATGAAATTTTCAGAAGTTGTCTCGGATTTTTGCTCCTTTATTTATGGACGGATTGTGCTGATTTTAAATAGAAAATTTATCGAAAGCATGTCTGACACAATTGTTGCAAATTTGGATCCCAAAGATATCTAGGGTCATCAGAATACTGATTTAAACAGACACACAGGCGAACAGACGGGTAGACAGACAGACGGACATGGCTTAATCGATTCCGCTATCTATAAGGATCCAGAATATATGTTCTTTATATGGTCGGAAACTTATATTGTGGAAATTAGGAAATTATACCCTTCTCACTAAGGTGAAGGGTATAAAAAATTACTTTTTGAATTTTCTATAATTTTAAACCAATAAACATAAAATAAAACATCTATATAGTCTTAAGGGAATAAAAATCTGTTGTAAAGTATTTTTTGTAATTTTTTGATCTTCAAGTAGAACTTTTTGTTTTTTTTTTTGTTATGCGGAACCTAGAAACAAATGAAATTTGTGTTACTGGTACTTTTTGATGTTAAACCTACATAGAAATATAGAGTTAAGCACGCAGGATCCTGATTGAATGCAAAATCTATAAAAAGATACTCTTTGGTACTTTTTCGTTTTCCAACAGAATATCTTTAATTTTTTGGTAATAAAATTCCTATTGACTGTTTTGTTAACATACTTTGATGGAGGGTCTATTAGATTCGTAACATCCGAATATAAAACTCCTACTTGTTAATTTTAAGAAAGGACATCCTGATACCTAACTGAACATACATATATTCGCAATAATTTTTGTACGAGTGTGGGGTTGTCTATATAAATAATAAAAAATTAAAACATATTTTTAATAATTTCTAATCAAGTTTAGTTTTTATAATTTTTTTATTACCTACATTCATATATGCTCACACTAATATTTATTTAACTTTTAATAAGAAACAATTAAAAACTCATAAAAAGTTAAACAAATACAATTTTGCTGCACTTGTTGAATGTTCTTCTTACTAAAGAAAAGTTGTGCCTCAATGGTAATTGTTTACAGATAAACACCAACACACACTCACACACACACCGATAAATACACAACAATAACGGAACTTTGATTTTCCTTTAAGTGTTTTGATTTTCCTTTTATAAGTGTGTGTGTGTGTTTATATGAAAGGAAGAAACTAAAAATAAGAAAGAAAGTGTAATTAGTACACGTATGATTATTATTAGAAATGTGTTTGAGTAAACTTTTTGCACAGTGGTTCCAAACCACTTTTTAACAATCGTATATAAATGTACTTGAATATTTCGGAATAAAGGAACCAAGTGTCAAAATATTAGATTATGAATCAGTCAATTGACAATAAATAATATATGGTTTAGTCTACTGACTAGTCTTTGGATTTATCTATGAACTAGTCTATAGAATAGTCGGTAAACTAGTCTTTGGACTATACTTTTTGTATAAATTAATTTAGAATAGTATTTGGTTTTCTTTATCCAGAGCAGTGGTG